TCGAGATTTTTGGACGATGGTTCTTTAAAGCATTTCAACCCGCTTCCTCAAATTTTGTTGCTTGTACATATTGCATCAATTACACCTAAGGAACAACGGATCTCATAGGTATACAGGTCTGTTTTATGTTTACAACATGTTATTCTCTTATAATCACTTCCCTGCTGTACCTTTTACTTTTCTTTACACCACATGTTGTACTGTTTTCTTTACTGCATAGTCTACTGCTTGTCCTGTGCTACATACTCTACTGTTATGCTATACACTGTGCAATTTCAACATGTTATCTATAAAATATTTGAAGAACTACAACCATAGGGCCGGTGGATTTGACATTATAACCTGACATCCTAGAAAACTTAAACTCATCACAACAAGGAGCTTGAAACTAGCGCGGTGGGCAGCACGACCATCTTCAACTGCAGAACATGTCTTCCCAGCTGAATCATTTCTTTCATAGAAATTAAAACAACAATCCTTAGGATTTTGAGGTTGTTCGCCTAGCGCAACATAAATCCTCATCCTTTTCTTTAGACATTTGTATAGCTCTGCTGTACGATTTAAGCCCTAACTCGTTTTAGGATTCTGAGGTTGTCGTTCGTTATGACCTAAATCCTCATATCTTCCAAGCTATTTGTGTGATCGTTTCACACGAATGTAAGCCCTAAATAAATAAAATTGACGGGATAAAACACTTGAATATTTCTACCCTCGAAATTGAAGCCAAACCATAGGGTAAACTGAGAAGTCACCGAGGATCTCCTCTGGATCCGTGACATCCCTTAGTTCTTCTTCCTTTGGATTCTGTAATAAATATTCCAAATTTGAGTCATTATCCTTTCACACCTGTTTGTCTGATTTCGTTGAAAGGTCTCATCTTAAAATAAAATACTCGGTCTTTGAAGATAATTTTTCCTGATTTTTATCGAGAATATTCTTAAGTGACTTCGGTCATTTAAGATGTAATTAACTATAGGGGCTTGCCCTTATAGGAAGCTTTTCCGAACCCAACTTAAAATAAACCCTATTTAATTTCTCATATTAAATAGGGGAATTTGTCGGCAAATAAAACGGTTTCGCAAACCAAACGGACGTCATATATTTCTTAGTTTATTTGATCGAGTCTCATCCTCCAGTCTTGTGTTTATCTTTGGGATAGATACAGAGTTTGAGATAGAGTGTTCTTTCATTTAAACTGTGAAAATTATGGAGTCAGTTTGATTTCATATTTTTCTAAACTTAAATTTATATGTAAATTAAAACGTTCTTCTGAAGCAGGCGACGGGATTTCGATTCTGGTGACTGACAGCTTCCTACGGGCAACTCCCCCAACTCAACTTTTTATCGCTGACAGGTGAGTAAGATATCTATTTGCATAACTTCATAATAAAAATATCTAGTTTGCACTCAAGAACACTAAATTGTAAAAGTAAAATCACCCAATATCCCATACCGCTTGCTTACCTATAGTTTATATTGGACAAGCGTAACAAACCGACTTCATAATGAAAATATCCAGTTTGCACTCGAGAACCATTTTATTATGCATGAATAAGATATAAGAAGCCACTAAAGAGGCAAAACTGCTTGCATTAGTTCCCAGATATAATAAAACGAGTTGCACATAATGAGATAAGAGTTATCTATAGTATCAATTTTCAATAACCAAAAGAGGCTGAGTTTAACCAACCAAATTGGAGGAAGTATTCTGAAACTCAAAGCTTTTAATTTGTAAGACTTTAACAAAAACCTAATAAACAAAGAAAAAGAAAAAAGAATTCCAATACAGAGAAAAAGGAACCCATAACTATCTTTATTTTTTCATATGATCTTTATCATGATAATTCGAGCAAAAAAATTAGAAAAAGAGGCTGCTTGCATAACTTCATACTTAATATGATCTTTAATATGTTTACTACCATCAAGTGGCAAAATAGAGAGTAAGATATTATCTTGCACAACTTCAAAGAAAAGAATATAAACTCAAAACTACATTAACATCTCCTCCCCTATATGCAATGAAAATTTGTTGGTCTCCCAAAACTAAACTAATATTAACAAATCCTTCCTAGTTCTCACTTCCTACTCCCACCAAACTATAAAATAGTATAAATAACCCAAAAGCTGTCTCTATATACAATGAAAAACAGAAAAATGTATAGCCCAAAAGCTACATAGTCTGATAGTCGAATCAAATTAAATCCATAAATTTATTCACTCTATTGCTAGGTTGGGATTAAGAAATGCATACCTTCATTGTAGAAGAAGATAGAGTAAAGAAAATTAGGGCAACAACTAGAAGATGAAAGAAGAAATTTCAAAATAGAGATAAAGATGAGATTTGTGGGAACCAAGATGTCCAAAAGGACCAAAACTCTTCAGGAGACTCCCGCTTCCCCATTTCCACCTTTGACGACACATTTGCTCAGGCCTTACGTAGTTGAACCTACATCTTACACCAAATAGGAAATGCCTTCTAATCAAGGTAGGAGAGGGATCATGGATTGGCAAGCTAGCGACAGACGAATGGAAGTTGCAGGCACAGGCAGACTAATGACCAGTGGAGGGATGGGGCGAGCGGCGCAGTCTGCACGAGGCACAGAAAGGAACCCTTAGTAAAATGATTGCTCTTCACTATTTGCTTCCGCGCCTAAACGACCGAACCCTAAGAATCAGTTTTCGATTGGTTCGGTTAAATTTTTTTAAAACCCGAACCATAACCCGAATGCCAAATAAAGGTTACTTAAATACCGTTAACGAAAACGTTAATTTCAAAACTGAACCAAATCAATAAAATGGTTTGGTTAGGTTCAGTTTGATTATTTGGATTTAACCGAACTGTGCACACTCCTAGGTCTAGTTGCTTTCACTATATATTTACTTGATATGTTTTTCAAATATATCATATTTAATTTCATTTAATCATGACATTTTCTACCTTCTTATGTAAAATTTAATACAAATTGTTGTGTAATTAGCCAATGGTTTGAAAATATAGAATATCATTAGATGACATTGAATATAAGGGTCTGTTTGGGCAGCTGCAGCTTATTGAATAATCTGCTTATAAGCTGATTAAAAATAATTTGCCGATAAGCTAGGTGCGGTGACTATTACAAATTTTTATTTTTTTGAAAAAAGTCAGGCCGCAGCCAGAAAGCTGCCACCGTACCTAGACAGGTGCGGTGTAAAAACTCTGTTTTCAGCGTTTTAAAAACGCATAAGCTGCCAAAACGTAGTTTACCCAAACAGGTCAGCTACGTTTTCAAAATGTCACCGCACCAAATAAGCTGCCCCAAACAGACTCTAAGAGTAAATTCTCTTTAAGAGAGTGTTAATTCTGTTATGTGGTGTTTTTTTTTTGCCTTAATAGGGTAAAGTCACTTTCTTTACTTTTTGTTCATCTCTTCTCTCCCTTTCACCTTCTTTCTCTTTCTTCTCCCCCACCCTCTTGTCTTCTTTTTAATTTCATCTCCTCTCTCCTATTCTCTGCCTTCTCTTGAGCATAGCTACAATCCTTCGCTGCCTCATTTTACGTGGCCTTTTTTCTCTCATCTTGTTTACCATTACGTGGGACTATAGTAGATTTTATCATCTTACGAGACCCCTTCATATTGAAGTCTCTTTCCAACCAATCCAGTCCCTTTCCTAAACTCTTTATCCTACTGTCTTATCCACAAGATTTTCTTTGGAGAGTTCTTGAGAAGAAATGTGTTGATATGACTTATATTCAAGTCATTAAATGTATAGTAGAGCTGTTATTTGTGTTCGAACTGAAGGAGGATGACCAAATTTTTTCCTATTCTTGTTGGATTTCATCAGGGATCTGCTTTAAGCCCATATCTTTTTGCTTTAGTTATGGATGGTCTTACTGGACATTTACAGGAGGATGTATCTTGGTGTATGCTTTTTGCTGATGATATCCTTCTCGTGGATAAGATGAGAGAAAAAATCCAGGAAAAACTTGAGTTATGGTGGTCTACATTTGTGTCTAAAGGCCTTCATTTGAGTAGAACTAAAACTGAATATATGGAATGTAATTTTAGTAGTAGTAGCTCTAGTGACAGATGTGTAACTTTGGGGTGATCAAATTATTAAAAGGCTTGAACGATTTAGATATTTGGGGTCCGTTGTTCAAAGTGACGATGATATAGATGGGGATGTTAATAGTATAATTCAAGTCGGTTGATTGAAGTGGAGGATTGAAGTGGAGGAATGTTTTGGGCCTTTGGTGTGATAGAAAAGTACCGTTTAGACTGAAAAGAAATTTTTATGAGATGGTGGTGAGAATCGCAATGCTCAATGGAGCTGAATGTTGGCCTTTAAAAGAGAAGCATAATACTAAGTTAAGTGTTTCCGAGATGAGAATGATTAGGTGGATGAGTGACTTTACACTACACTTACTTTACACTTAGAGACAAAATGCGAAATGAAAATATTCGTGATAGAGTTGGTGTAGCTCCTGTGACGAACAAAATTAGAGAAAATATCCGTGATAGAGTTTGGTCACATTAAATGTCGACCATCTAATGATCCAATTAGGAGAGTAGATGTTTTAGATTCGACTTATGTTGAGAAAAGCAGAGGTAGACCTAGGAAGACTTGGGCTTATTGTATAAAAAAAATGATCTTAATTTATTAGAACTAAATGAAAATATGAGACTAAATTGAACACAACGGAGAAAACGGATTCATGTAGCCGACCCCACGAAGTGGGATTAAGGCTTTGTTGTTGTTGTTCTACCCAACTATGGCTTCTCTGTGTCAATAGAGTTGTAGTTCTCTTTAAAGCTGATTCATGTTCAGTGTAGAGCATCCGTTCTTTGTTGAATGCTTTTACTCTGTGGCCCTTTAAATATTTATATCGTAAAGCTAAAATATTTGTCTATACGTTGCTGATATCATGCAAAGAGGCTTTAATGGATGAATGTACTTGAAATTTGGTCTGATGTGAAGGTTATTTACTTTGTGATCTAAACATTTTATTTTCTGTTTTGCAGTTTTGGTCATGTAAACTATGAAGACCCTCACTTCAATGTGGGCTTACCTGTATTTACCATTCATGGAAATCATGATGATCCTGCTGGAGTGGTATTGTCTAAACATATTCTGATTTTCAGATGGCATGGTAACAGTCTTTTTTCAATAACAAAGATTGTATGACGCAAGCATATTTGTTTCATCACAACTGACTTCTAGTGATTTCTGTTTTTTAATATAATTATAGTCCGTTTTTTTCTTTCGTTAATGAAAAGGAGGTCCCCCAACTCTATCAATATAAAAATGTATTATAAGTGAAAATCTCTACCTGAAGAAAACAATATAGAATTATGGATGTATATTGTAAAAGCATTGGCTATAAACATATTTTGATTATTGGTTAATTGAGCAATGGGTTTTTCTATCCGCATTAAGGGTTGCTAACCTCAATAACAAAGTTCGAAAGATCCAAACAATTTGCTTTATTATAAAATCCAGATGTAGTGGATTTATGTCTTTTATATACTTATTGAAGGATTTTTGCCTAAAGGAAACCATATATAATTGTGGAAAACAATTTTTAATGCCCCACTTGAATTATATGTTATTGATAAAAGTGCATACAACACTATATTATGTTTTCTATCTATAACATTCTAGCAAGTCTTACATTACAAAATATTACATGCTGCTATTTTCTTATAGTTTGCTAAATATATCAAATTCTAGTCATTCCAGTGGTTTTCATTGCCAGAATATCCGGCAGCATCTCCCTCATGTACTAGAATTGGCAAGTCTTTCAAAGATGAATCAGGAACACAAAGATAAACATCCCTAAATAAATAACCATTTTAAACTTGTAGTCTTTGTTAAATAAACATAAATTATTTTTCTAGTCTTTGTAAGTATTTCCAAAATGCTTACAAGTGACGTTCTCACTTATATGAGCAAAATAAGACACTATAGAATAATATTGGGTTCTGATACTAATTGTTGTTGGTAGCACGACAAAAGAATTTTAGAAGCCTTAAGAAGATAAAGGAATAAAATAAAATTAGTTACACATGCTAAAGGTGATACCGGAGTTAACCCAAATCACGACTCCGGCATAATTTTATTAATGGAAAAACGACACAATTAAGTATACAATAATAAAGGAAATAACTATTCAATAAGTAATAAAATAAGAATAAAAGGGGCAGGAACAGTCCTGGACAGCGTCGGTGGCGGCTAAGATATCACCAAGGTGGCGGGGAAGGAGTGAGCTGTGGTTGGACGATCGTCGAGGTGGTCTGCAGTGACCAGAGCGGCACTAGAGGGCCTGGAGTGGTTGGCTGTCTACAGTAAGCAGCGTCAAGGCGGAAGGCAGTGACGTGATGACTGCTGTGGGGAGCTGGAAGAGGCTGCGACGTGGGCTGGAAGGGGACCCGAGGGGATCTCTGGCCTGCTGGAGGTGGCGTAGGTAGGAGAGCTGCGACTAGAGATGGCTGAATGGAACCTAGAGGTGCTGCGGCGAACTGTGAAAATGGGAAGTAACGCGTGGAAGAGCAGCAGAGGTGCTGTAGGGGAGGATAAAGGACAATAATTAATCAATCGGAAGAAAAAGTTGACCGACAACCACCTTGGCGGGATATAACTGTAGCACCACGTACCAGGAGGAGGAAGCGGAGCGGAGATATACACCACCTTGGCGGGATATAACTGTAGCACCACGTGGCCAAGGATGTAGCCCTCGAAGGTGGGAAACACCAAATTGGAAAACCAAAATCACTGCTTAGACTTGAGAAAAAACATGTATAAATAGTGAAGAAGGGAGACAACTTAGGATGGAAGGATGAGAAGAAAAAGAAGGGTTTTGAAGAGGCGAGCAATGTCTAGGAGGAGCGGCTGCGGAAGATTAGAGCATGGGGCGGGGAAGGAGAAGCGAATGATGCGAGATTGAGAATAGAGCGAGCAAAAGCGAATTGACACTTTAATGCCGAGGACCGGTCGAGCATGAATGGCTGGACCGGCTTGCTCCTAGACGTGTTGGCCCGATGCGCAGAAGGAGGGTGCGTCTTGCATCAAAAGGGGGTGAGGAGAAATGTGCAATCCTCATTTCATTTCATAATTTTAATTTACTTTTATAATCACTTGGACCACTATTTATGATAGTTAATTCTATAAGGAAAGACCGATTATCAAAGCTATCCTAAACAACTATCAAATGATCATATTGCTCTTGAAAATTGGAATAGAGGCTAATGAAGATGAATGATGTAAAACAAATGTGGTATTTCATCATAATCTTGTTGATTATCTTTTTTATTTTTGTTATTTGTCTTTATTTAGTTTTTTTTTTAATTTGTTGAGATGAATTTTCCAATTTTTGATTTGTAAAGTAATAAGTAGAAAGTTTGATTAGTGGTATCATCTTGTAGGAGATTCCATTATAAATAGAGGACTTACGGGTCATGTAAAGCATACTATAAGTTTTTCATCTCCTAGGCTTGATTTCTTCTCATTTTCTCTCTCTTTCATTCAATTTTTCAATGCTTATGCAATTCTTTCACTGCATCTTTCAACATCTATTAGTATCAAAGCTTGATATTATTCTAGAAATTATTATCGATAATTTAATGAGATGATGATTAGTGTTGTGGCAAAGGCCAATTTGATTGAAATCCATCAAACTTTTATTGGTACGTGCTTTTGGGCTTTCATTTTGCATTGTTAATCATTACAATGGATACATTCTCTTCTCAAGGCCCCCACTTCCAACTAACTTTAACCCAAGTTCATCAAAATCCATATCTCTCAGGTACATCACCTCCTTTTCAATTCTTTTAAATAATTAAAGTTTATCACTTCCATTTCTCATTGAAATTGTGTGGATTTTGCTATTGCGTTTGTCACTGGATTCTCTGTGACTTTTATGTTTAATTTTATTTGATTACAACATTCATTTTTTATCTATTTACAAGCTGATGAATTTAATTTATTTTTGCCTATTTGAGCGCCTTTTTTTGCTATAATATTTATAACTACATACACTCATTTGCCTTCCCCTCATTCGTTCTCTCTAAAAATTCTAAAATAATCTTCATGAAAAAATATTATTTTAAAATTTTCTTTAAATTATTTTTATTCTTAGATTTTAGAAAATCCTAAAAGTTTAATTCAAAGTTTTTAACATCCATCCTAACTAGCTCTTTGCATTCTTTTTGGGATATTTTTCCAACTCCACTCCTAGGAAGAGTACTTAACTTGATCCACCCCTTTTTATCTCTTCAATCTCCACCCTCATCCCAAAATTTGAGAACCCGACCCTATCTCGTCCCTCTTCTCTTTTCCTGAGCTCACTGCTTTTTTTCTTCTTGATATCATAAAAAATTTTCTACCTAAGCAAATAAAGACAGTAAAACCTAACCCTACTCTTAACTCTAAACCACCCTAAATTAATATAACCTTAAACCATAAATGTGAAAATGAGCCATTCAATTTTTTTCCTTTCACTTAAAATTCAGGCCCATGGTAGAGAAAAAGCAAAGATGCCACTTGCTCTTTTGTTTGTTGCCCTTTGCACACCACTTTGTTTATGTCTTCCCTTTCACTGTTTATTGCATTTTTGTGTGATTACTGTCGTTGTATGTTTTCCTTCTCTCACTTTCATGTTTGTTTTATTTTATTGATGCCAATGTCATTTCGTTGCTCTCAATCTCTTTGGCTTCTCGAAAGGCTCGTCGCACAATCTTTCACCAATAGTACATTTTTGTTCTTTTTCATGTTTGTTGTTATGTTCGGTCTCTTCTGTTGATCTCTGTTGCACTTCTTGTTCCATTAGAGCCTTTTTGGATCCCAACTTCTTCTGTATTAACATCTCCCAAGTTGTTTTTGAGGTTGATTCTCTTCCTTTTTTTTTTTTGGTTGAGCCTCAACCCCATCCTCCACCATCCTTCATAATTTTTTTTTTCGTGGTTTGAATTTGAAAAACTTGGTGCTACGTGTGGTTTATATTCAGAAAATAATGCCTGATACTTTTGTCCCTGCTAGCTTGTTGGTAAAGCTAGTTTTTGAAATACCGCAACATCTTCTTATTAGTGATCAAAATAATGATTATTTATCACAACAAATTTTTTATTCTTATTGGAGCATTTAAGTATCGGCCTCAAGTAACTAAAAGATTCGACTTTGTTTATATTAGAGGTGACATGAATCAGAAGATCGATCACTACTCTCCTATTTTTGCAAGGTATTAAGCTATGCGAACCAAATAAAATTTTTATATCCTTTTTTCTTTGTTGTATTTTTCTTTTTTGCTCTGGTATTATTTAGTAAATGCTCTTAATTTACTCTTATGATTATTTAATTAATATATTTTGGTTAAAAAGATCTATCAATGGGCTGAGAGGTTTAGAAAAGTTCAAAGCGGAATATCATATAGATCTTTTTTTTCTAACTTAGTAATTCTACTTTACATATAAAATTATCTGAAGTTTATATAGTTTGATCAAGAATTTTGAAACATATCACTTGTCAAAGATTTTTAATTGTTCCAAAGGATCTACAGTTTGACGCTTCATTGGATTTATTGCATATGTTTGTTACAGTTTGATGCTTCCAAAGGATCATTCATCTCATTTTCTTTGTGATATGTTCCCTTCTTCTTTGTCATGATGGGTTTTAATACTTCGAAGTTGCATTAAAAGTTCTTCCAATTTTTCCTTCAACAACATTCAAATTCTTTGGAGTACTGCTCTTTGTGAATGATTTCCTCTTTTCTCTTTATTGGTTCCCCTCTTCAAGCTCTTCAAAGCTTTTACAATTCTTCCGGCTCTTGACTTTGAAATAACCTGTGAAATAAAAAAAATAAAGGAAGAGAAAGAAAATAGAATAAAATAAAATAATTAATTATTTATTTTCCTTTACCGCCAAAGAGAGCTACATAGAGGAAATAACTGCTCCCTCCCTTTATACCTCAGTTACAAGCATGAACTAAGCCTTTGTTGAAGCCTATTCTCATATCTCCCCCGCTTCAGTTCTTGTTCGCCTCTTCTCTCTCGTGAGTTCTTCATTAGAAATAAAAACAGAGAAAAGCATTGGCACCCTCTTTGTCCTTCTTCCTTTCCTTTATCCGACTGAAACGCCGCAAGAGTTTGCAAAAGCCTCAGTCTTCCTCCTGTTTGAAATATACAGTCATCTTCAAAAGACACACGAAGGAACAATATATCCCTTACCTATTTCCTCGTTGTATCTTCTTCTTTATTTGTCTGTTTCACTGCACCGACCAATCGAAACAAGTTGCTATTCCTCCTACCTTTTCCCCTGCGTACAAAGTCGTAGTCGTTACTCGCACAAACTACACAACATAAACTTTCTCCCCTATTCGAAACCTAATTTCCCAATGCTTCACTTTTTTGTTCTTTCTTCTGCTCAAATTGTTCTAACCTTCGTCCACTCTACCTTAAATCGAGCCTTCTTCTTCTCCTTCTCAGTTGCACAAACCTCTCGCTGTCTCTTCTACAAGTTCAGTTCGATCCTATGGTCAGGCCGAATAGAACCCTTGTCGGTTCTTCGCTGTTCGCATGACCCAGTAGTGAGCGATCCTCCCTGCTGCGTCTCTTCACGTGCAACCCTTTGCATCCCTCGGTTTTGTCCTAACCTGAAGGCGAGATCTCACAGTTCGAAGTTGGGCATGATCGCACCATTCGAAGTTGCTTCTTCCTTGTGCACAGGTTGCCACTGAAGCCCTCTACACCAAAATCCTCCCCACCCAATCATGTGATCCCCTTTTGTCGCGCCTTCCAAAGTCCGCACTCGCTGAAGCCCTTACACAGTGTTGTGACTTTCCTTTTCTTTCCAATTGCGCGAAGCTTGTGTCATCATAAGTCTCCTTCTCGAAACCACCCCCCCCCCCCCCCCCCCCCCACACTTGAATAGAACTTACATTGAACACCTCTCTGTTGTTCCTGAAAGCTTCCACCGTCTTGCCCTAGCCCTCACGATTGTGAAAGCTTTCCCCTACCTTTCCTTTCGGTTGTTTTCCTGCACCAATGCCATGCTCGAGCTTTAAACCCAGCCTAAAATCCCCTTTGCTTTTCTTATTTGAGCCCGAGCATTAAGTTGGCCAGGTCCGATCATCTTTTATCTCACCCGAGCACCAAACAATCACTTTACTGTTCATTTTATTTATTTTATTTTAGTATTGTGTATCGTTGTATTGTGTATAAAAAAATAAAATATGGGCTGTAATTCTGTTGCCGATCATCTTCGTTGAGGGCATTGGAGCTCGAAAGGTATATTTTTGGGGCAATGCAGGGAAATTTTTAAAATGTCCATTTGAGGAAGCGCGACTACTCGTTCGTGGGGAAATTAAGTACCGTTCGGGGGAAGCACACAAACTCGTTTGGAAAACTTTGTAAAATTTGGGCTTTAAAACACCCCTTCGTGGGAAAGTGAGTACCCGTCCGTGGAGAGTTGAGTACCATTTGGGGAAAGCAAACTACCATTCGAAAAATACTGGTTTGTGCTTTAACCTTTTTTGTAGATACATTGAAGTCCTGTTGCGTATTTTAAGATCTCAGGTTAAATTTACACTTTTGCTCCTCGACATCAGTGTCTCACAACACTGACTAGCTCGTCTTTTAAGACATTTGGAAAAGCTGACATTCTCTCGTGTCCCCAAACGGTGGTTGACGTCGGGGGGCTGCTGAAATATTGAGTGATTTGAACTTGTAGAATTTTAAATTTTGGAATTTTTTGACTTATAAAATAAAAATAAAATGTGATTTATTTGTAATTTTAAAATAATTTGGAATTTCGAGCTCTTAAAATATATGCTCTTAGGATTTTAAAAGTATTAATGTCTCAGTCTTTTGAGATTTAGGCTCTTTAGGCTTTAAAATATTTTAAAGTTTGGACTTTTAAATTTAGGCCATAAGGTTTTAAAAATTTTAAAGTCCTTGGCTCTTAAAATATAAATTTGGATTATAAAAACTAAGCTTATAAATTTGAAAATGCTTTAAAATTGGATTTTTCTACTTTGGGCTCTTAGGGGCGAAAAATAATTCAAACATGATACCCTTTGTAAATTTTAAAACACCATCGGATTCACAACACTTCTGTTAGCGAACATAAGACGGTGCATTTAAAGCTTAAAATCATAATACTTTTACTAATATTTTGTATTCCAAATAACTTAAAAATTTGTAAGCTTTGTGGTTATCTTATAAGTTAAATGAAACAAATTGAAATATGAGCTACACTTTTAAGGCTTAGACGAGTATCACTTGAGATACTCCCGAGTTATATATGCTTTAAGGTGGTTATATAACGAAATCCTTTAAACATAAAGTTAAATGCCCGCATGTGCTCCAACCAAACATGTTGAAAGTTCAATACTAGGTTTGAGAATGTTGAGCGGGCTAATCGAGTCGCCTTGTCTATAGGGCAGGTTCGTAAGACCCACTCCATTAGTTCGATCATCCTTCTCGCAAGGATTGAAGTTTACAAGTCTAGTAGTTTTAAAAATAAATATCTAAATTCTAAAATAAGAATTTACAGGCCCAAATCACATAGTCCAATACCCCTTATAAGGATAGGAGTCGACATGAATTATACTTTGCAAAACTTAAATTAACAAAATTAAATGTCCCTCTTTCAAATATAAATACTTTAAAATGTTCAAATTTCCCGATGATGGCCATGTTGATCTAAGGTTTCAACCTTAGGTGTTAATCTTTAAAATCAAGCTTTTTAAAATAAACAACTAATATGTAAGTAAAATCCAATTACTTAAAAGTGTACAATTGATTGACTCAAAGTCTTTTGTTAGCTAAGGTTGACTTAAATTTGTCATCTTAAACAAACATTCACCCCAGATCTACAAGAATCTCTTGAACGATGCAACTCATTACTTCTGACAATGATACTTCTGTGAGGTTGGGTCGACTACCTCCTCTGATTAAGTAGATCATGGATCACGACAGTCTGGGATGACGAAAACAGAGGATCTTGATCGGGTTTCATCTTCATTCCCCCACCATTCGTTTTAAGCTTTAAATGGTGAACTCTGCAATTTAAATTCTGTGTATGCGGTTATTATATGTTGAATGCTCAAATATTAACGACTAGCCTTAATCGAAAGTGCTTTCCCGTTATCGGGAGGAGTAATTAACCGTAAGGGCTTGTGCCTATGTGAAACTTTGAACCCCAGATCGAAAAGTCATTGCTAAATGAGGGCAAAATCTTTGAGTAGTGTCTTATCTACAATCCAATATGTCTCCTGAAAATTCTACCCTATTAAGTTCTCTCTCAAAAAAAATAAAATAAAATAAAACAAATTACAAAGTTGTTCTGGGAAGCGGTCATGAATTTTCAGAGCCCACACTGGCGTGTCTTTTCATCATTTGATGTTTAGAGGCATAAAATTCATATTTATACATGTTAGTTCAACAAAGCTACTGCTTGAGGTCTCCAAGAAAGTGCCAATTTAATTTCAAGATGATGTTATCATCACTTAAATAATCATTAATTCTTATTTGAATTGATTGCTTGAAAAAATTAGGATAGTTACTATATTGAAGTTATTTGATTATGTTACACATCATTAACAAAATGACTAATTTTAGCTGAAATAGGTTGGACCTACAGATTCTAGGAATAGGCCCAATGAGGTGTGCCACCCATTGTTCGTAGAAATATAATTGTTGAAAAACATGTTTCGACCTACCTCTTTATTCAGGATTTATTATCCTAAACATCTAAAACAGCAATTCCGTAATGTTCAACCATCCTTGGTGTTACATGACATAAATATTTTTTCATCTGACAGGATAACCTTTCTGCCATTGATATTCTTTCTGCAACTAATCTTGTAAACTATTTTGGTAAAATGGTTCTTGGTGGTTCTGGAGTTGGTCAGATAACACTCTATCCTATACTTATAAGGAAGGTGGGCTTATTTTTTATATGAAAAATTACTTACAGTTACATATCTAACACTTAAACTTCAATTTTTTTACATGTATGCCATCTTACCTATGTGCTTGATCACTTTTTAAAAAATAAAATAGTGGTATTTTTTATGATACAAATGATTTGGGTGGTATAAATGTATAAATCAAAGTTTGGGTGTTAGATATGTAAATAAATAAAAATTAGGTGGCGTGTATTTAAATGCCCCTTATTTATAATTCATGCATTGAAAAATCTCTGATTGCTGACATATCGAATGCCAGGGTACAACATCTGTAGCTTTGTATGGTCTTGGGAATATTAGAGATGAGAGACTTAACAGGATGTTTCAGGTGCTCAACTATCCACACTGAATTTAACCGCTTGATTAAGTTGTTCATTCTGTTAAGCAATTCATTCTTCAGACACCACATGAAGTTCAGTGGATGCGGCCAGAACCTCAAGAAGGATGTCCAGTGTTTGATTGGTTCAACATTCTCGTTCTTCACCAAAACAGGTTTTGTGCTGTGTTATAGAAAATGCGCATTTTTTTTCGGAAGCTTTACATGCATACCACTCAATTCTTATTTACATATTTAACACCAAAATTTCAATTTTTACGTGCACCTTATCTATCTATGAAAAGGTTAAAGGTTTATTTAACTTTTTAGTTATTTAACTTTTTAGAAGTTAATGGTGGTATTTTTGATGTGATATGAAAGATTTGTGATGTATAAATTTGAAAATAACAGTTTAGGTTTTAGACTTGTAAATACGTAGGAAATGGGCCCCTTTTTTTATTAGTTTGGTAGCACTGAGTTGGTTTTCATTTGAATAATTTGTTAATCAACCGAGTTATATGATCTGCAGAGTCAAATCAAATCCAAAAAATGCCGTTAATGAACATTTCTTGCCCCGATTTCTAGATTTTATCGTGTGGGGACATGAACATGAATGTCTTGTTGATCCACAGGTATTTGTTTTATTGAAATTTTGTTTTACAAACTTGCCTGATGCCATTAGCTCTTCATGTTCTAACAGGAAGTTCCAGGAATGGGCTTTCATATCAGTCAGCCCGGCTCTTCTGTTGCAACATCTCTAATTGAAGGCGAAGCAAAGCCCAAGCATGTACTTCTAATGGAAGTCAAGGTGATTTTAATCATCAATCTACCTCTCTTCATTACAATAAATAAATAAAAAAAGAAACGTTCTCATCTGTTATGATTTTTGCTCTATTTCAACGCTTTCTAATCATATTAAAATTCATTTTATTTTCAGGGAAGTCAGTACAGACCAACAAAAATACCTTTGAAGTCTGTTAGACCTTTTGAATATGCTGAGGTAAGTAATGAACTTGATGGGCATCAGCAGTTACGTATTGAATGGTTTTTGTTTAGAAAGATTTTAATACATACCACTCAATTCCTATGTATTTACTTACTTAACGCCTAATCTTCAATTTTTACATACATGCACCTTAGCTATGCATGAAAAGGTGTATCTCACTTATAAAAAAAATTAAAAAGGTTATATTTTTGTGTGATTATAAACATGGTCAGAGCTACAGTCCTCCATTTGCCCAGCCCAATAAATTAGATTTAATATAATTTACATATTTTCTTAAGCTGTAAACGAAACAGATAAAAATTACACATTTGAAATAAGTAGTTATCTATATATTCAAAGTTCCTCTTAAACCTTTCAAGCTATTGTGATCCACGTGATACCCGCAGAACTCGAATAGAATGGTTTCGCTTCTTTTTAAACCATAGTACTGATAAATTCTTGTGTGGGACTAAAAGTACAAATAAGCTTTCCACATTAATGTGCGGCTAGCTCTGACTTTTGTATTTTATTTTTCATTTTTTTTACTTTACTTTTGTTCTCATAAATATTTTTTCTATTAAATAAAAATGTTATTATTTTTTGAAAAAAATTACTAATTTAATTATTGTTAAGTTAATAATATAAAATTTGCATTAATTTTAATTTATATTTTAATTAAATTTATTTAAATTAAATTTATTTTTAGTTATAATTTATTTTAGGTTTTAAATTAATATCGAGCTTTAATTGAACATCTCAACAGGCTTGTTTATGAATTTTAAATGGAATTATATTTTATTTGGTTTTTAGATTATATTTTTAATTAGTTTTAGTTAATAATAGAAAAAAATGTTTTAAAATTAAATTAATTTTTAATCATATTTTATTGAAACTAAATTATGTTTGTAGTTATAAGTTATATTGGGTTTTAACTCATTCTTATTTAGTTTTTTATGACATTAATAAAAGAATTAATTTATATTTCTTATGCATTTTAAAATATAACTTTTTCAAGTAATATATTTTTACTTTTTTTTTCAACAAGATTTTATCAATTTTATATTAAGAAGAAAAATAAAGTCACCAATATCAGTCCTAAATTTTAATAAAAAAGTTAAGTATTGGAATGTTTGAAATTATTAATTGGTCCCCCTATTAAAAAATTATCTGATTCTGCCCCCGGATATAAAAATTTTTGGTATTATAGATGTAAAAGGTAAATTTTAGGTGTAGATCTGTAAATACATAGGAATTAGGTGCTATGCATGTAAATGCCCTTTTTGTTTATTAATCTTGTGCTGCAGGTTGTTTTAAAAGATGAAGCTGATGTTGATCCTAATGATCAAGCATCCGTTCTTGAACATTTAGATAAAGTTGTAAGTGTTCTTCCATTTTTTTAATTGCACTGTTTATTATTTTAAAAATTCGTTAGTCTAATAATCTCAATCACTATAGGTGAAAAATCTGATTGAAAAAAATAGCACAAACACTGTTAGAAGGTCAGAGCTTAAGCTTCCTTTGATTCGGATAAAGGTATTCTTCATAGGATTTTTTTAAAGAATTAATTTTTTTAGGGCTTTTTGCTCCGATCATGCAAATGAAATAATTGATGATGCACATTTTTTTCATTTGCTTCCATTTTTTATCGACGCTTTAAGATTGCGAACTTGCATTTCTTTTTTCTGCATTTGTATTTTGAAATGGTTTCTGTTCCTTGGCTATTCTAATATGTTGTTGGTATGATGTTGATCAATTTCAGGTGGACTACTCTGGATTTATGACTATAAATCCACAAAGATTTGGCCAAAAGTATGTGGGAAAGGTAATATAATCCAGTTTAATTTTAATGCTTGGTACTAGTTGGCCTCAGTAGCATGTCCATTTTTGAGATCTTGCAATAGAGAATGCATAGAGAATATTTTAATGCAACATTGCTAGAGCTTGCATTTATTTTAAATTTTTGTGTAGTTTAGCCTGTTCATATTTTCCATCTTAGATGGTTAATATGGACGTAAATTCAAAATTTTAATTTTGACTCGGATATTGGAGTTATTGACTTTTAGATATTTCTTTTTTTAATTGAATTATTGTGTTGAATATCATTAAATTTTTTAACTTCTTGTTCCTAGATTTTTAGCTTGTTTGTAATTTATAACTAGTTAGCTATTTCATGAATCTGTAAATATAACTTTTTTTTGTCATTTAAAACACATTATGCATGAATAGAATTCTGCTGGACACTTCATCATCTATCCCGAGATTTAATCCTTAATGGCTTAATCATTTGTGAGGCCTAAAACATTTCCTCATGAAAGCATGAGTTATTATTATTATTATGATCTAAATCTTTTCATCCTTAGAATTAAATGAAAATATGACACTCCATAGTACAATGGAGAAAAAGGATTCCAATGGCCGACTCCACTTAGCGGGACAAAGGCTTGTTTTTGTTGTATCTAACTCTTTTCATACTTCTCATTTTTTTTATTTTCTTTTCATATTAATTTTCGAGTTTTCTTGCATCAAACTAGCATCAGAACTATGATTTGAATCATTTTATATGGAGGTTTGCTTTGAAATTAAGCTCCAATAATTTTTTGCCGTTACTACCCCGCCACCTACTACTCACAAAAGCTAATGCCACTTTTCATGGAACGGTGATAACAATTTATGTCGAAGTAATAAAACAATGGTCATCTCTTCCCCCCCCCCATTTTGTAACAAACCATCCTAAAATCTCTCTAATGTGTGCGTGTGCCCATGCATATATGTTTTCTCAGTAGCAACAGGTCACTTCTCTCCTTTGTACTCCTTTCCCAGAAGATTCATAACCAACACATTAGGGATTAGATTAACCCTTTTTAAGACCACCGCCAAACTTAAATTGAACAAATCCGTGATTTTACTTCTGTTTTTCTATCATTTTTTTATCTTTTGTAGGTAGCTAATCCGCAGGATATTCTCATTTTCTCAAAGGCTGCAAAGAAGCGTCAATCTCTTGAAGGTAGAAAAGCGTGGTTTGTAATCTATTTATTTATGATTGGCTTGGATTGTGTGTCAATGCAAAGAAAAATTTATTCTGTAAGTTTGGGTTTATTTTATATGGAAAATCTCCTAATGACACTTTCGAAAGAAAATGGGCAGGAGAAGGAGCTGATATTTCGTTTTCTTATTTTTTTAACCCCCGTAAACCATGCAATATGTCAAGAATTCCATTTTATTCATTGATCTATCATTACTTTAAAATAGCACCTCAAGCTCCATTGCAGATAAGATTGATGATTCTGAAAGGCTTCGCCCGGAGGAACTAAATCAACAAAACATTGAGGCGCTTGTCGCTGAAAGTAATCTGGTAGTCCGTTTCTTATTTTTCGTACAATATTATATATGTTAATTGGATCTTTTCTTCTATTTGGCATATTTTATAATGTAGTACAAATTTTGCATGCGGCTATTTTTGAGTCATGAACTCGTTGATATTTATCAATAATTTGTCAGAGGTCTCATCCTCAAAAGCAGAAAGCTCTTATAGTAAGATGCTAGTATATTTGTTACATTGTCTTATAAGAATCTCACATTTATTAAAACTTGATGCTTCACTGGAATTTTTGAAAAACAAACTCTAAAGGCTTCCGTTAGTTTTTTTTTTTATTATTGTTATTAAAATTGAAAATATTTACCGAGACCTCTTGATTTTAAGAGCAACTTGTGGTATCATGCCTCTCTTCTAGCTCTGTGCCATTGTTTGCCAAAGTCCTTGAGTAATCTGATGTCAAATTTGATCTGCCATATTGCAGTAGTTTAAGATGCAGTCTTTTTTGCAGAAAATGGAGATCCTTCCAGTTAATGATTTGGATATTGCATTACATGACTTCGTTAACAAGGATGACAAGATGGCATTTTATTCTTGCTTGCAGAACAATCTTCAGGAAACAAGGGTAAGCCTTTCTCAAGGTCCCTATCAAATCTATCTACTTAAACTTAAATAATTCTCCATCTATAGCTAATAGTTTGGTTAAATTTGTGTAGCTAACACTGGTTAGCATCGCTTTAACTGCTTCTATGTAACTCAGAGTAAATTAAACTCTGAAGCAGATGGTCTGAAGTTTGAAGAGGGAGAACTTATACTTAAAGTCACTGAATCCATGCAGGCATGAATCTTATCACGTCGGTTCCTTGATTCTTCTACTTTTGCATGAAAGACACTGACAAATTGCTGCCTGTCATTTTGCTGTGTAGGAACGTGTAAAGCAAAGGTCATCAATGTCGAAGGAAGAAATGAGAATCACATCAAAGTCACAGAACCAATTGGTTATAGTGGATTCAATACTTTTACATAAATGATGCATGTCAGATCAAAGTTAGGTATTTTTGAAATTTCACATGTTTGAAATTAACTTAGTTGCTATATGCAGGGAGGTAGTTCTAAGAGTATGACTGCTCCTAGTAGTACCAATGCCTTCAGTGATGACGAAGCCACTGGACAAATGCTCTCTAGCTCAAAGACTGTTGGTCGTGGAAGAAAAGGAGCTTCTGATGCACCTAAACCCACTCGAGCTGAAGCTTCAAAGGGCGGCAGGGGAAGGGGTAAAAGCAGTTTGAAGCAGATGACTCTGCAGGCAACATTGAGAACTCGAAATTCTGAGAGGTTGCTTGCTTGCTTCACTTTTGCACTTGGCTTTTATATTAGGGGCATTTACATACATACCACATAATTCTTATGTATTTACATATCCAATAAGTACATATTCATATTTACATGCATACTACTCAATTTCTTAACATCACATAAAAAATACCGCCATAAGTTTTTTCTTAAAGTGGAATACACCTTTGATGCATACTTTAGGACACCAGGGCGTTTTAAGTGTCAATATCAAACTTTGGGTGTTAGATATGTAATACATAGGAGTTTTGTGGTATGTATGTAAATTTTCCTGTATATCATTCTTGATGTTTATACATGTTAAATGCAGGGCCCGGTTTTCGGTTATAAAAGGTTTCTTGTTCATATTACAAGTGTTAGGCTTCCTAGCAAATGAATGTTGGCATGCTGTTTATTTTTCTATGTTCACAGGCATGTTTATTATACAGGGATGTTTTAAATACGACGCTAGATGTTTTGATATTGTGGCCCAATAACATTGCAGATCAGCTTTGGGTTCCGCATCAGGCATGGTTGATGAAGATGTTGATTCCCCTTCAAGTGAAGAAACAGAAAAATATGAAGTGAACGAAGTGGTTGAAAGTAGTGTATGTTCTTTTCACTTTGCTGGGCATTTTATTTTAGATTTAGCTTTAAATTTACTAAGCTAGTTGATGCTGAGGGAAATAATCCTCGGTTTATGTTTGTTTGCTCTTATTTCGCAGGAACCTGAAGAGAGTATTCAAGGGAGGACTCGCAAAAGAGCAGCTCCCAGGGGAAGAGCAAGAGGTGCTTCATCAACTTCAAAGAGAGGAAGAAAGTTAGACAAGTCTTCCATCCATAGCTTGTTTTTGAATAAAGACAATGTTGATGATGATGACGATATGCCAAATAAACCAAAAAAAGTTCAAGCTCAGGTATGCAGTACCAAGCAGATTACTCTTCTTTCAAAGTGGATTTTTAATATGCAAGCTTTTCGACAGTTGGACTGTAGGGGTTTTTTACCTTCTCCTTTATGTTCCATACCTTGGATTAATTTGTTTGGAATTTTTGAAGATCTTTGCATTTCATATCCACTTTGTACTTATAATTGGAACGTTTGATTTTTTATTTCATTGTATTTGGGAAATTTTCAAGATCATTGCTTTGGTCCTGATGTTTTTGAAATTTCATGAATAGATTCATATGCTTTGTTTTTTTGTGTCAATAGACCTCTTTCGTAAATAAAATGACCAAACTACTATTTATAAGCGCGTCTATGTCCTTATTTCATATCGAATGATTACAATTATATCTCCCCCAGACATCCACACTGACAAAGCAAACTTCTGAAGCTTGCTTCTATATTGAAACACCTAAAGGTGTTCGGTGTCTTTTATTGTTTTTGGATACATTTGAAATAATACCTCACTGCGAGTTGCTATTTAATGTGCAACAACCAAGAATGTTGGAAAACCTGCTGCCATCTCACCCACCATTTTGACCCCTCTTCTCAAAATGCATGAGATTTAGTAGAGTTTGACAAAACAGTCATTCGAATTAATATGAGAATTTTTAATGAGTTAAAAGCTTAGTGGAATAAACAATCGTAATTTAGGATTCAAAATATAAGAAAAGAAAGTAATAGCATGCATGCTAGTTTTTCGAATTAATATGAGAATCTTTTAATCATAAGCATGACTATTCTAGTGTAGCAATTTTAAAATAAAATTAAGTTTAGTATTCACATAAGTAAAAGATGATCATATGCATTAGATATACCTATCTTTAAAGAAATAAAATGCATCATTTGATTATGTAAATCTTTAAAGCATTAATTATTTTTTCTTTTATCCTCTTCGTAGTTTTAAAAATGTCATGTGATGCCAAAATGCCTCGGCACCTTTTAACATTTCTTATCGGAGAAGTATTAATACAATTTCATATTATGCTTTTGTGCATTCATATTGAAGTTTTTATTTATTTATTTATTTATTTATCAGGTATCTGGTAATTATGGTGCAATCAGGAAGAGATGATTTCTATCAAAAGCAAAAGACCAAATTTCCTTTCTTTTACTAACTTATACAGAAAGGTTGGCATGTTATGTTCAAAAGTTCATATACTCGTCGAGCCATTTATTTTTTTGGCCCCCAATTAATATTTTCCTTGTTACGAGGTGAGTCTTTTTAGCTTTTTTATTAATATAAAGATAAATTTTTTAATTTTAATTTATTTTGATTATATTTTTTGTTGAAGGAGATGGCTCGTGAGTAATGAGTAGTGTCGGGGCAGGCTTGAGCTTGGCTTGTTAGCTCATCAAGCTCAGTTTATGAGCTATTTATCAGCCGACACACGAGTTGGCTTGACTCAGTTACTCCTCCGCGTGTAAGATTATTGGGATAATTACATACAGACCACCCGGAACATTGATATTTTCAAATTAACCACCCATGTGTTTTTTTTGAACCACCAAATTGATGTATTTATGTGTGCCAAGATCATATTTTTGAGAATTTGATACAAATGAAAGATATGGCTTGGGATTTTACCATGAATTTTGGTATTTGAGCGGGAATTTGAAAATAGTTGAAAGAGGGCGGTTGATTTGTAAATACAAAGTTTGGAGTGGTCTGTATGTAATTGCCCCATTATTATTTTGATATACTCTGGTTTCACGTTTCAACCATGGATTAGCTATTACTATAATCTTGTTATTGTACTTTTCAATGATCATGTTTCATTGAATTTCTTTTTTTCTTTTTTCTTTTTTTTTTTTTTCTGTAAAGTGTAGATTTTCTCAATATCATGATTTATGTACATGATATTTGTATTGTGTGGTTAAGATTGTGTACATTTTCTTACCAGAGTTGATATTGATTTGAGGTCATACAATGGCTGCATAATGAGATGGCTACATTTAGAACCTAACCATGCATTTTTTAGGGCCCATTTTGGGTGTTTTAATTTTATTTTGTTTTTAAAGCATGTCTGTTTTCTACATGGAAAATTTTGTGAAGCCTAAAAAGTATGATTGATGGTAATTAACTTGATTCATGATTTAAATGAGATTCATGTTGACATACAAGAAATGATAATGCTTTCGAAATTTTCAAAAATTATATATATTTTTTATTGTAAATAAGTAAATTTTTATTTATTTTATAGTGAATTTTTTATCATACAAAAATAAGGGTAAAGAACATATCGTCAAAAAATGTGCTTGATCGGACACAAATCAATTTTTGGATCGGTTTGTCGTCATGTTTCATCAATTTCTTTGGTATCAATGAAACTTATATTGTAAATAAAATACTTGCAATGTAAACTTAATTAAAATGATAAAATGATTGCATGATAGGACATGAAGATGAGCTCAAATTTATAGGAGCAAATTGATGTTTAAAATGACAATTAGGTGCTTTAGCAGCATAGCAACGGCTTTTAGATTATGAGACATAACAACAATTTCAACGTCATTTAGATTAAGTACATGCCACATAATTTTTATTTACATATCCATAACAATAAAGTATGTTTCATATTTTATTATTATAAACCTATGCATGCAAGTGTATGCCACACATAAAAGTTAATAATAATAACAACAACAATAATAATATTATTATTGATGCTATGTTAAATATTTGAATGTTCTTGATATAAATATGAAGAATATATAAGAATTATATGATATCTATACAAAGCCCCTTGTGTTATTTAGATTTCCACAATCAATTATTTTGATTTCATTCTGAGCAGACACTGAAAGCTTTTGCTTTCAAGTCAGTTTCAACAAAAACCTATTTATACCTGTTCATCATCGCAATTTCTGCTCCAGAATGGCTCCTCCTAGAACAAATAAGCCACTGATGCCATATTTTATGATTGCTAATGATTATTATAAGAATTAACTGATCTTAATTAAATATTAGATAATAGCAAACTGGCTAATGAATATAAAGTAATTACCTAATAAACATATTACAGACCTAACTAATAATGCGCCAATCTTCTAATCAAATTTTGCTTATATTAAGTCCAATGAAGTCTTATCTAATAACCTAATTATTAATTAGCACTTAAATCACAACAATATATTATTGTATATTGTTATCTTGAAACTAAATTTCTCATTATTAACCTCTGCATGAATAAATGCCAAATCAACAACCATGCAACTCTTTTATTAGCAATCAACCAATTACTGAAAATATTGTAAACACCCTAAACAATGAGCCTAATCACAATAAAATTGATTTATTAAAAAAGAAAACCAAATATATCAGCTAGTATTATCATTTACTACAAACAAATTAAAACAAATTGACTCCAAAACTTCTTTGTTTAGATAACATAAACCCATTGACAAAGATGCAACTTTAGACAAAATTCATCAGGAAAATGCAAAGCAAATCAGCATGAGAGGAGCTTTGAAAAATCTGTATGGTGAAATATTCAAGCAAAAGCAAGAAGCAGCAGCAGCAAGAACATCTCTCCAGTTATATCTTACACCTAAAATTTCATAGTTACACACATAACACTCAAAAATCTTTAATCACATAAAAAATAGCACTATTCTCACTTTTAAAAAGTGAAACACACCTTTTCTTGCATACGTTTAAAGCAACAAAGTGCTATGCGTGAAAATATGAAAGTTTAGGTGCGAGATACATAAATTTATAAGAATTGTGCTTAGTATGTAAATTTCCAATATATATATATATATATATATAGAAAGCAATCAATTTTACAAAAAATAATCAGGGGTCCTCCTGGTGGTATCTGGTTCAACCTGCCTTGGAGCTGGATCAAATTGTAAGAAGTTTTGGGACATGTCTTCCCCAATTTCCAGTATGGCCGCCGTATTACCGCATCTGTAGCAGTAATTTGGCGCGCTGAATACTGTAACAACATTCTGATCCTGTGGTATAAATATGAAAAAATTTAACTGATGGAAGGTCATTTGAGGTGGGGGAAAGTGAAAAATGATCAAAATCTGTAGATGACTCCGAGGTGTTATAAGTGTAAATATCAAACTTTGGGTGTTAGATATGCATAAGAGTTGTGAGGTATATATGTAAATCTCCCTTAAATAAATATTAGTTCAGCAAAGCAATAGTTTGCATTTAAGTGGGAAGAAACTCCAGGCTAAGGTTACTCTATGAATCCTCCATAGCTATTTATCAGTGATCTTCACCCCCCCCCCACCCCCC